AAAGAATTAAGGAAAATATATATGAATTTAATTGTCTTAATTTTGACATATTCAAAATATTTTTAAATAGAAAGTGTATTTACATTTTTTTTCCTTTTTATTATGGCAAACCGTACGAAGTATTTAATATCTCGATAAAAAACTCCTCTGAATATGTGCACCTTAAAGCATCTCCAATGGAGATTATTTTTTGGTTGTTTGTGTCATATTTTGTGTGTCCAAATTGACTATTGCATTTAAGCAGTTCATAATCAACCTTAATTATTTTTATTTCAATGATAATATTAAATAAGCAATGTATCTATAACATAAGGATGCATATTCTACTGTAATATCTATAAACTCTAATATGTCTACGGTGGGATAAATCAAATATTATTGACTAGTTTTATATTATCAATAATTTGGGTACAAAAACTTTGTTTTACAAAATCAAATGACCTATCCATGGATGTATCCACGTATACACTATTTTTTCACATAAAAATCTTGATTTTGACTTAAAAACACATTTCTAAACTGATTTTAAGTATTTTTAAGTAAAAACACACATTTAGACACAAAGAATTAAGGAAAATATATATGAATATTAATTGTCTTAATTTTGACATATTCAAAATATTTTTAAATAAAAAGTGTATTTACATTTTTCTCCTTTTTATTATGGCAAAACGTACGATGTATTTAATATCTCGATAAAAAACTCCTCTGAATATGTGTACCTTTTAAAGCATCTCCAATGGAGAATATTTTTTGGTTGTTTGTGTCATATCTTATGTGTCCAAATTGACAATTGCATTTAAGCAGTTCAAAATCAACCTTAATTATTTTTATTTCAATGATAGTTATAAATAAGAAATGTATCTATAACATAAGGATGCTGTAATATATATAAACTCTAATATGTATAGGGTGGGATAAATCAAATATTATTGACTACTTTTATATTATCAATAATTTGGGTACCAAAACTTTGCTTTACAAAATCAAATGACCTATCCATGGATGTTTCCACCTATACACTATTTTTTCACATGAAAATCTTGATTTTGACTTGTAAACACATTTCTAAACTGATTTTAAGTATTTTTAGGAAAAAACACACATTTAGACACGAAGAATTAAGGAAAATATATATATGAATATTAATTGTCTTAATTTTGACATATTCAAAATATTTTTAAATAGAAAGTGTATGTACATTTTTCTCCTTTTTATTATTGAAAACCTTACGAAGTATTTAATATCTCGATAAAAAACTCCTCTGAATATGTGTACCTTAAAGCATCTCCAATGGAGAATATTTTTTTGTTGTTTGTGTAATATTTTGTGTGTCCAAATTGAATATTGCATTTAAGCAGTTCATAATCAACCTTGATTATTTTTATTTCAATGATAATTTTAAATAAGCAATGTATCTATAACATAAGGATGCATATTCTACTGTAATATCTATAAACTCTAATATGTCTACGGTGGGATAAATCAAATATTATTGACTAGTTTTAGATTATCAATAATTTGGGTACAAAAACTTTGTTTTACAAAATCAAATGACCTATCCATGGATGTATCCACTTATACACTATTTTTTCACATAAAAATCTTGATTTTGACTTGAAAACACATTTCTAAACTGATTTTAAGTAATTTTATGTAAAAACATACATTTAGACACAAAGAATTAAGGAAAATATATATGAATTTAATTGTCTTAATTTTGACATATTCAAAATATTTTTAAATAGAAAGTGTATTTACATTTTTTTTCCTTTTTATTATGGCAAACCGTACGAAGTATTTAATATCTCGATAAAACACTACGCCAAATAAGCTATTTAATAGCGCTTTTTTTTGTTTTTGATAGCGCTTAAAAGTGCTATTAACCGCGCCACTATTGTAAATATTTCTTATTTAATAGCACTTTAAAAGCGCTATTAAAGTACCAATTTATAATAGCGTTTTAATTAAAGTGCTATCAAAGTCAGTATTTTGCATGTTTTTTGTTTGTTTTTTTATAGCACTCTAAACAAAAAGCGCTAATATATAACATATGTTTGATAGCGCTTTCAAATAAAGTGCTAATAAATGGTACATATTTGGTACAATATTTTTAATAAGTACAGTACAATATTTTTTCTTACACAATCATTTTTTTGGTGTAAATATAAAATAACTATATTCAATTCAACACAAATAACGCTTTAAGTTACTCATTGCATATATATTATGATCCATCAAATACCAAATAACATTTTAAATTACCAAATCCTATTGTTTCCAAATATCATAACATATAGAATATTAAGAGGGCGTTTGCATAACCAAATTTGTAGATGCCCATCTATGAGTACTTCAATCCAAATCCAAAAACATACAATCAAATTCTCTAAACAAAACACCAAAAAAATAAGAAAGGATAACAAAACAATCCCATGTAGTAACCACCTTCATGATCCAAAAGCGTTGAACTCATAGATACAATCACTAATTAGGCAAAATAATTGCTTCTTGTTTTCCTGTATCATAGAAGGAATATTGATTATGTATTGTACAATAAAAACTAATTCAACGTATAAAGAATAATCAAACATTTAATATGGGTCTAACAAGAAGCGCATAAAATAAGGAATGATTATTATAAACTAATAACAATAAATCGATATAACTAATGCAATAATTGAACTAATTAAGTCTAACAAGAACATGACTTGTAAATATATAGACCACAATTTCCATTATTAGATGCATATAAACACTAAACAGAATATAATTCAAATTCTCAAAATATACATAAACACTTAATTGTGTGTAACTTTCTTTTCATGATCCAGAACTAGATATCAAACACCTTACAATTGTTACTACGAATATCCAAAAATTTCAAGTAGAAACGGAAAACTATAAATCAATCATACAATAAGATATAAGTCATTTTTCCGTATTTTCCTATTTCAAAATTTAAATTCGAGACCAAGAAAGAACACTCAGTACCTCTGTGCCATATCTTCTAAACCAATAAAATACTAAAATCATTTATACGACAACTCTAAATCCATTTGAACTCTAAGTCAAAACATTTGAACTCTAAATCCATGAGTAATATTTGTCTTGTTTATCAAGTATCAAGTCAAGGAAAAACTCACCGAAAACATCAAGCAACTTGATTATAAGTAATTTACCTTTTCACATTCAACAACAAATTCAAGAAGTTTCGTTGGCCATGGCACAATTGTTCCTATTGCTTTCTCTCCCTGGATCTGTAGGGTCAGAATATGTACATAACATTCCCAGGATTTAAGAGTCTTGTTTCTCCCACCCAAAAATCACTAATCAACAAACACCGCTCAGTTACATTCATTGTTGTTAAATGGAAACCATAGAGTGGTGGATTTTTTCACAATTGCCATGGGCAATTTGTGAAGAGATACCCGCCATAGATGGTAGACCACAATGGCTTGCTTATAATAGCGGGTTTTTTACCTTCCATTTTCTGCGTCTGACAAGAGTGGTTACATTCCCTTCCTCTAGAAAGGGAGTTACCCATTTACATTTTCAAGATTAAAGAAATGTATTTGTTCACATAATATACTCAGAAATTATTTACATATGGGTTAAATATATTTTTATTACCTATAAAAGTAAAAAATATATAAAAAATTGGTTTTGGTTCCTGTAAAGATTTTATTTGTTTTTAATCGTACATGTTTTAACAAATATATGCTTTTAGTATCGTATCAGTAACAAATGTTAGGTGTTTTGTTTTCAGTTTTACAGGGAACAAAATATGTTCAATAAATATTCTCATATAGGAAAATATATTATTTGTATAATGTATAGTTCCATATAAAGATGAAACGCTAAAATTAGTTACCTCTTGTAGAATTAGTGCAAATGAGAACACATCCACTTTAGTGTCATATTCCTCTTGATTAAAAACCTCAGGAGCCACATAGCGGCCTATTAACAAAATAACAAAGTTCCAGTTTTAGAAAATTATTTCATAAAGCAGCATATCTAAGACCACTGCATAAAAAATATCACAATGTCCTATATGAATAAGAGAATATAGTATTTAGATATTTAGATATTCAAGTGTGCATTGATCACAGTTCTAAAGAAAAGCAGCACCCACAAGAAGTATCTTGGAAAGTTAGAGGCTTGTCTTTAACTGTTAGCAACTTGCTAACTCCAAAGTCTGCAACTTTTAGGTGGCCGAAATCATCCCTCAATATATTACTGTTAGTTTACACATAAGCAACATTGATACAAAGTGTAAATATATCAGATGACTAATCAATACATTCGAACTTCACATAAAAGGACAAAGGAAAAAACAATAATTCAATGAAGAAACTTACGAAGGCTCGAGATCACGGTGAATAATGGGTGATGGTTTATTTTCATGCAAATAACCCACTCCCCTGCATAATATAAAATAAAAACGGTGTTAAGTGACACTTCAATAGAGAAAAAAGATAAACATTGCAGTAGAGACATCATATTCAAATTCAAGAGAATCAGAACCAAGTAGATGTCTCATCTTAAAATGATTCACATACATGAATTTTGAAAAGTTATCTCTAAAAGGTAATGCATATTTTTATCCAGAAAGTATGAACCTGGAGAGAAATGTTAAAGCCATGATGCTTCTTAGGACATGCAATCAGAAAATTTCTGAGAAGAAACCTGTTCAAGAACTATATTTGAATAATTAATAACTTGTTTCTCTTTATGGATGACATCCACCCACTTAAGTTACTGGACATACGGATTGGATCATTACTTAGCCAAATTAAACATGGGCTTCACTTACTCAGCCTATGAACACATATTTATGTAATTAACTATGTTTTTTTAAAATTATAATATTTTAGCTTCTTACCTTTTTATCTAATTTTCCTTGATTTCCATTACTTTCTAGTTCCTAAAACACTATTTTTCCTATATCCGGAAACACTGGGCACAGGGGCAGAGAATTTGAAGCATTTCTGCTTTCCTTAACACAGGAGAGAATCATATTGACATCGGGCTCTTACCTAAATTAATCAATAGTTTTTCATCAGCACTTGCATTTAAAAATAAGACAAACGAAGAATCAACTTACCAATGGAACGTTCTTCTTGAAGCCAACACCAAGATGAAAAATCTTTGCAAGTTGGTAGAAAGCCTTTGGTTGACCATTGTTGGCAGCCACTATAAAATATTTACATGCCAACCGCACATCTCTTTTCACTCCAATCCCCTTGAGAAACATGACACCTAGGTTATAATGGCCACCAACCTCGTCATTTTCAGCAGCCTTTTCAAAATACTCTTTTGCCTGTAATTCAGAAAAAGATATCATAAATTAAGCATAGACATACATAGACACACAATACCACCGATAAAGTGTGTCCCCATTCCATTCCCCAAAAATTTGAAGTCCATACAAACACAAAAAAGGCAAAGATGATCATACTTTAGTGTAATTTTTGCTGTCGACTCCATAGCCTTTGACATACAAATAACCAATCCCATTATAAGCAGAGTAGAGGTGATGCTTAGATGCTAGAGTAAGCCATTCAAAGGCTTTTGTATAGTTCCTCTCAACACCGGCTCCCCTGGCATATATCTCTCCGAGAAGCTCCATGGAGCGAGGCTCTCCCTTCTCCACTGCCTTCAAGAACCACGAAAGTGCCTTAGAATGGTCACGCCTCAATCCACGTAGCCCAAAGTAGTAAAAGAGTCCCACTTTGTACATAGCAGCAGCATTTCCTTTCTGTGCCTGATACTCGAGAATCTGAAAATCCTCATCCTCTTCCCCTTTAGATTTTCTAAGTGCCTCTTTGTTCTCTTCAGCTCCATTGTGTAGCCTAATAGGTTCAATGACGGGAGAATCTTTGGAAATGAGAAAACCATTGACAGCCACTTCTGCTAATTCAGCATAAAGCTTAACCGATTTATCAAACATCTACAACCATTCCAACATAATCAAAAACTCTAACATTATAATAGAATAGAATATAGAAGTTTATAAGAGAGCATGGTTCTGAAAAAAAGGTATGCTGCTTTGATGTCAATGTTATTATTTCTCTATATCCTATTTGATTGATCATATTAAGGTATTACCTCCTTGTTAACCATGAGTTTTTTGCTAAGAACATTACGAGATTGATTTGTCAAATTGGAAGCCATTGCGCTCAAAAACCCAATCCTATTCAATATTGCAGGATAAAAACCACATGTTAGAATTCTAATGACCAAATAGTTTGTTTTCATGTAACTCAATTTATAATCTAGAAGGAGCAAGACTCACCAATTGAAAGAGACCTCCGTAGCAGACGCCAGTGCCACTCCACCTGCAATAGGCACAAGGGAAGCAACCACCCATGCTGTAGGCATCTGTAAGATAAGATTGGAAAAATCAACTAACAGTGGATTGAATTTTGAGCTTATAGGATCAAAAAACTCTTATAAGCAAGGTAACCCCCCTCATGGACACATAAGTAACCACATTGAGAAATATACTCATTAACCAGCATTTGACTGATATAGTGACAACATAGACAAGGACAAAAAATGTTCCAACTATATAAAGAATGAAATGAAACAGTTTGTATTATACATTTCCTTTGGCTCCACCCAATCTAATAATACTATAACAAATCATTTGTTTTCAATCACGTGTTCTACTTTTAGTATAGACAAAAATATCAGACATAAAATAAATTCATATGTTTTACACTAAGCTTGTACCTAAGAAACTACAGTAAACATCAATTCAATATACAATAGAAAAAATAACATTTGGTGTTGTGTTATCTTACCTCTCCAAGGAACATAGAAGACATAAGGACAGAAAAGAAAGGCTCCATTGATTTGACAGTATGAGTAAAAGAAACAACAACTTTTCCAAGGCTCATATTAGTGAAAAGGTTCCCTAATGTATGTACCAAAGCCAATGGAAATATTGCTAAAAGCTGCAAAAAAAAACAAGTGAACTCACATCTTGACGAGTGTAGGTATAAGCAAGAGCCATTTTGGATTGCATATTGCCACCATCTGAAGCAAAATGATGATAAACAAATGCTTTCTGTTTACTCCTCTCTCTCAAAAGCCCCATTCCCCACAAAAACCCTAACACTGATTGTGCCGCCGGGTAACCAGACTCTGCAGCCGTCTCAATCTCACCAGAGCCTTCTTCGATTAGCCTCGCGTCTCCTGTCATAAGCTTGGTCACGGCGGAGTAGTAGAGAGCCTCCGTATCGGATTGAGGTTGAGGTTGCAGTTGGGTGGAGGTTGGTTCGAAGATTTGGCGCCATGATCCAGGGTCGAGATCCTCTTCGGATTTGTGAGAGTCGGAGTCGCCGAACTCGTCCCACTCGGGGGAGGAATCGGGATCGGAAGGGGGTTCGTCTTTGAAGTCTTCTTGGGAGAGGACGAGGACGTAGGGGGCGGGCGGTGACGGAGAGAGTGAGGAGAGAGAAACAGAGGAGAGAGATGAATAATTTGGCGGTGGGCATTGCTGTGTTGAAAAATCACAGTCACAGCAATTGAAATTCAGAAATAATATAGAAATTTGGAATGAGAAGAACAAGAATGAAGGATAGTGAATGTAAATGGATGAAATGTGAGGATAGTCAAATAATAGCGTTTTATACAAAATGCTATCTTAAAGAAGTTTAATAATAGCGTTCTGGTACAAAGTGCTATCATAATTACATAGTCTGTATTATATAATAGCGCCCGATTAAAAAGTGCTATTATAAATGTGTTTTTTCCATTTTAATAGCATTTTTTTAAAAAGTGCTATTAAATTAGGTGATACAAAAAATCATTTTTGGCGTAGTGAAAAACTCCTCTGAATATGTGTACCTTAAAGCATCTCCAATGGAGATTATTTTTTGGTTGTTTGTGTCATATTTTGTGTGTCCAAATTGACTATTGCATTTAAGCAGTTCATAATCAACCTTAATTATTTTTATTTCAATGATAATATTAAATAAGCAATGTATCTATAACATAAGGATGCATATTCTACTGTAATATCTATAAACTCTAATATGTCTACGGTGGGATAAATCAAATATTATTGACTAGTTTTATATTATCAATAATTTGGGTACAAAAACTTTGTTTTACAAAATCAAATGACCTATCCATGGATGTATCCACGTATACACTATTTTTTCACATAAAAATCTTGATTTTGACTTAAAAACACATTTCTAAACTGATTTTAAGTATTTTTAAGTAAAAACACACATTTAGACACAAAGAATTAAGGAAAATATATATGAATATTAATTGTCTTAATTTTGACATATTCAAAATATTTTTAAATAGAAAGTGTATTTACATTTTTCTCCTTTTTATTATGGCAAAACGTATGAAGTATTTAATATCTCGATAAAAAACTCCTCTGAATATGTGTACCTTTTAAAGCATCTCCAATGGAGAATATTTTTTGGTTGTTTGTGTCATATCTTATGTGTCCAAATTGACAATTGCATTTAAGCAGTTCAAAATCAACCTTAATTATTTTTATTTCAATGATAGTTATAAATAAGAAATGTATCTATAACATAAGGATGATGTAATATATATAAACTCTAATATGTATAGGGTGGGATAAATCAAATATTATTGACTACTTTTATATTATCAATAATTTGGGTACAAAAACTTTGCTTTACGAAATCAAATGACCTATCCATGGATGTATCCACCTATACACTATTTTTTCACATGAAAATCTTGATTTTGACTTGTAAACACATTTCTAAACTGATTTTAAGTATTTTTAGGAAAAAACACACATTTAGACACGAAGAATTAAGGAAAATATATATATGAATATTAATTGTCTTAATTTTGACATATTCAAAATATTTTTAAATAGAAAGTGTATGTACATTTTTCTCCTTTTTATTATTGAAAACCTTACGAAGTATTTAATATCTCGATAAAAAACTCCTCTGAATATGTGTACCTTAAAGCATCTCCAATGGAGAATATTTTTTTGTTGTTTGTGTAATATTTTGTGTGTCCAAATTGAATATTGCATTTAAGCAGTTCATAATCAACCTTAATTATTTTTATTTCAATGATAATTTTAAATAAGCAATGTATCTATAACATAAGGATGCATATTCTACTGTAATATCTATAAACTCTAATATGTCTACGGTGGGATAAATCAAATATTATTGACTAGTTTTAGATTATCAATAATTTGGGTACAAAAACTTTGTTTTACAAAATCAAATGACCTATCCATGGATGTATCCACTTATACACTATTTTTTCACATAAAAATCTTGATTTTGACTTGAAAACACATTTCTAAACTGATTTTAAGTAATTTTATGTAAAAACATACATTTAGACACAAAGAATTAAGGAAAATATATATGAATATTAATTGTCTTAATTTTGACATATTCAAAATATTTTTAAATAGAAAGTGTATTTACATTTTTCTCCTTTTTATTATGGCAAAACGTACGAAGTATTTAATATCTCGATAAAAAACTCCTCTGAATATGTGTACCTTTTAAAGCATCTCCAATGGAGAATATTTTTTGGTTGTTTGTGTCATATCTTATGTGTCCAAATTGACAATTGCATTTAAGCAGTTCAAAATCAACCTTAATTATTTTTATTTCAATGATAGTTATAAATAAGAAATGTATCTATAACATAAGGATGTTGTAATATATATAAACTCTAATATGTATAGGGTGGGATAAATCAAATATTATTGACTACTTTTATATTATCAATAATTTGGGTACAAAAACTTTTCTTTACAAAATCAAATGACCTATCCATGGATGTTTCCACCTATACACTAGTTTTTCACATGAAAATCTTGATTTTGACTTGTAAACACATTTCTAAACTGATTTTAAGTATTTTTAGGAAAAAACACACATTTAGACACGAAGAATTAAGGAAAATATATATATGAATATTAATTGTCTTAATTTTGACATATTCAAAATATTTTTAAATAGAAAGTGTATGTACATTTTTCTCCTTTTTATTATTGAAAACCTTACGAAGTATTTAATATCTCGATAAAAAACTCCTCTGAATATGTGTACCTTAAAGCATCTCCAATGGAGAATATTTTTTTGTTGTTTGTGTAATATTTTGTGTGTCCAAATTGAATATTGCATTTAAGCAGTTCATAATCAACCTTAATTATTTTTATTTCAATGATAATTTTAAATAAGCAATGTATCTATAACATAAGGATGCATATTCTACTGTAATATCTATAAACTCTAATATGTCTACGGTGGGATAAATCAAATATTATTGACTAGTTTTAGATTATCAATAATTTGGGTACAAAAACTTTGTTTTACAAAATCAAATGACCTATCCATGGATGTATCCACTTATACACTATTTTTTCACATAAAAATCTTGAATTTGACTTGAAAACACATTTCTAAACTGATTTTAAGTAAGTTTATGTAAAAACATACATTTAGACACAAAGAATTAAGGAAAATATATATGAATTTAATTGTCTTAATTTTGACATATTCAAAATATTTTTAAATAGAAAGTGTATTTACATTTTTTTTTCCTTTTTATTATGGCAAACCGCACGAAGTATTTAATATCTCGATAAAAAACTCCTCTGAATATGTGTACCTTAAAGCATCTCCAATGGAGATTATTTTTTGGTTGTTTGTGTCATATTTTGTGTGTCCAAATTGACTATTGCATTTAAGCAGTTCATAA